CCTGCCTTGGAGAACTCTTATAGGTGTTTTATTAATTATATGAACAGCAGCAAGAATACTCTCATCCCAAAAATCAACAGGGAGATTTGCATGAAACAGTAAGGCAAGGTATTCTGTCTTATGGTTTGTTAGGAACCATCCGCTGCTGCATGGACGTGTCTGACTGCTTCATGGAATCGGTTTAGGCTGAGTATCCCATTACCTGACTCCTCTCATCTTGAACGCGAGAAATACTACGATGGGTCTCCTCTTGAGTGACAATTGCGTACACTTTGTTGACACTAGGAAGAGGAGAAGTGTTGAGGATATGGGATCTCAGATTGCCAAATGTAGATTCATCCAGCCCCATCAAAAATTGATAAACGCGATCATGCTCTTGCTCCTCCTCGATTGCTTTGGCAATGGCACACTTATCACCACAATCGCAAGACTTGCGAGTTTTGCTGCCTTCCAGATCGTCCCATACAACCCTGAGTTTGGTGTAATAATCACCAACGCTATCTCCATGTTGCTTGATATTGGCTAAACTGGATTTCAGTTGATATTGTCTTGGAAAGTTTTGCACTGCATACCTTTCCTCTAGGTCATTCCATAAGTCCTTGACGTCATCAAAGCACTTGATGAATGGTTGAAGTTTTGCATCAATGGTGTTGTGAATCCAACCATTGAGCATCGAATTACACATCTCCCAGGCGCGCCACTCTTCGGCATCATCCTCTCCTGGTTTCTTGACTGAACCGGTCACAAAACCCAATTTGTTTTTCGCCTTCAATGCGTTTTTCATGAGCTTGGCCCAGTTGTCATAGTTGGCCTCACCACGCAGCATGGCAGTTGTTAACAAGAGACCTGGACTGTCGGATCCAGCCAAGTAAAATGGCGAACTAGGATCAGTTGTTTTGGACTTGCTGCCACCACCTGGTGCCATGTTCAATGAACCAGCTTTCGCACTGAAAGGGAATGCGGAAACGTGTATACTAGGATTGCTCTGATACCAAGATAAACTCGATATTTCAACTGTGTGTCTATCTCATTCATTGGTAGCCTTTAAATAGGCGAACATACAATAAATGGTAACAACGTAACAGACTAAAACAAATAAATACTCTATCTAAACAGTCCTACGGTTACAAAGAATTCAAACAATATACGTTACAAAGAATTCAATCCTACGGTTACAAAGAATTGAATTCAAACAATATACGTTACAAAGAATTCAAACCTACGGTTACAAAGAATTCAAACAATATACGTTACAAAGAATTCAAACAATATACTATTACATATAATCTCCAACATAAACATAAAAAAAATTCGGATCATCACTTTTCTTTTCATATGGTGTGATGGTGATGGTGGTGGCGGCGGTTGTAGTAGTGGCGTTGTGGTGGTGGTGGTGGTGGTGGTAGGGGTGGTGTCATGGTGGTGGCGGCAGTGGCAATAGTGGTGATGGCATGGTAGTCTCGACAACGACAGTGGTAATGGTGACAGCGGCGACGATGGTAATGGTGGTGGTAGTGGTGTGGTGTGGTTGTGGTGACGATAGTAGCTATGGCGATGGTGGCGGTGATGATTGTGGTGGTGGTGGTGGTGGTGGTGATGATGGTGATGGTGGCGGTGACGGTGACATAGAGATGGTGGTGGTGACAGCAGTGGCCCCAATGATGGTGGTGATAATGGTGGCGATGGCGGTGGTGATGGTGACGACATAGTGGTGGTGGCGGTGGCGATAGTGTAGTGGTGGTGGTGACGATGGCGATGATGTAGTGATGGTGGTGGTGGTAGCGATGGCGTGAGAATAATAGTGGTGGCGGCGACAGTGGTGGTAATAGTGGCAATGGCGGCGGTAGTGGTGGTGGTGGTGACGACAGTGTCTGTGAAGACATGGTGGCGGTGGTGTAGTGGTGGCGTGGTAGTGGCAGTGGTATGATAATGGTAGTGGTGGCGGCGGCGGTGGTGGTAATGGTGGTGGCGATGGTAGTGGTGGTAACAGTAGTGTCTACGTCGATGGTGGCGGTGGAGGTGGTTGCGGCAGCGGTGATGGAGGTAGTAGTGGTAGCGTGGTGGTGATGGCAATGGCTACGATGATGGTAGTGGTGGTGGTGGTGGTGGTGATAATGGTGGTGACCGTGATGGTAATAGTGGTGGTGGTGGTACGACGATGGTAGGGGTGGTTGTGTCGGGATGGTGGTGGCGGTTGTGATGATGGTAGTGGTGGAGACTGGAGAGTAATTGAGAGAGATAAATGTTTCTCATTCTGTGCCCAGAATAAAAAAAATAGAATTTTTTGATTCTTTTTTATGCTCCCCAGCACAAAAAATAAACCGGTTCATCTCGGGAACAAAAAAAATAAACCAATTTTACTAAACGAGTTTTCTATCCATTTCTGTTCCTAAGAACAGAAATTAAAAAAAAATTAATTTCGAGAAAGTTGTCATACACACCCTAAATGACCGTGAAGACATGGGGCAAGAGTAACAGTATTTGATTCTTATTAATGCTTTTTATCCTATTTTTTTATTTTTTTCATATTTCCCACCGTCCTTTTCAAGATCCCATGAAGGAATAAATGATCTATCTGGAATTCACGAGAATAAGTCCTACCACTTTAAAAATAAAAAATCTTTCAGATGGATTTTCTAGTGAAAAAATATAATAAAGTGAAATATATTATCGTAATAATAAATTATAAATTAATTTTGTAAGTACTTTGATATTAATAATTCACTCTTTTATATATAGAATTGTCATTACTCCTGTAATATAAAATAAAATTATCTCCTATAATTCTAAAATAATATTATTTTAAAGTTACGAGAGAGAATTTTAATTTTTTGTTATAGGAGAAATATTAATCTCATATATATATATATATATATATATATATATATATATATATATAAAATATAATCTGTTATCTTGAAAGTGATTAAATTTCTTAATTCATTTTTCCTTAAACAATAGATTATATTATTGTTAAGTTCTCTTAATTTTAATTTCTCTTAGTTAACTCTTGATTTTTTTTATGTTAAGTTGAAGTTTTCTTTTCTTTTCTTATTTGTATTTTTTTATTTTTTAATGCATTTAAAATTTTCTTTAAAATTTTTTCGAGAGCAATCACTAAATGTGTATACATAAATAATATTTTCTGAATTTTCCATTGGCGGCCGCCTCTCTCTAAATTTTAATATTTTTATTATTATATGTAAAATAATCTTTTTTATTAATAATAGATTTTTAGTACTAATAATTACTTTCCCTTTAAAAATATTTATAATAATGAGCATCTCTTATTAATTTTAATAATACTTATAATTTTTTAAAAAAGTATCTTTTATTATAAATTTTTTTGGATCCGTCATTAAATGTATTTTTCTCTGTACTAAATTAGCATATAGAAAACATGACAATAATAAAAATTGAGAGACATCCACAAACACACTCATTTACAAGAAGAAATATTAAACCTACCAACGTAGTCAACTGTCCGAGGATAAGGTGGCCACAATGTCAGGCTCTGTTTGCCATGGAGATTTATTTAGAAATTCTCATTAAATGGGGTGGGTCAATATTTTTTTTAATCTTTTGGTACGAGGAAACTGAAAATATTTTTGAATTTTTTTTTCATCATTTCAATTTTAACTATAAAATTCATAAAAAAATATCATTTGATACATGATATTTTTATTTTCTCATAATATTAATATAATTAATCTAATATTTTTGTAAAAAATTTTAACCTATATATCAAATACCTCTCGTAACTTGTTTGAAAAAAAAAAATTCTCATCATATTTTAAAAAATCTTTTTTTTTCCCGATAAAAATATCTCTTTTACTCAATATCCCCTCACTCTATTCAACTGACACAGAGTGTCACTCCAACAGTATGATCTACATGTTATTCTTCTCCTTAGTAGATAAAGACAGTTACCTTCCTCGTTGCTCTTTCAGGTATCACCCTTCTTATGGAAGCTTGTCGAATCAGTAAAATTCTCAAAAACCCGCCTTCCTTGTCGAGGAATATCGCTTTCTTTGAAGTTTGAATTTAACAATAGTTAATCAATTTGAAACAAGAGGTAAGATCTTTTACATCGGTGTCAAATTTGAAGTTTGACACTTCATCTGAGAGCCGTTAGATCGAAAAAGATCAACGACTCTGATTTGTAAGCATGTGATACCATTGATCTTTTTCGATCTAACGGTTCTCAGACGAGATATCAAACTTCAAATTTGACACCGGTGTCAAAGGATCCTAACTCTTAAAACAAATAATAATAAAGGGACAGACATATTATATATTGTTATGTTACTGTGTGATCATTATCATCCAAAGCAAGGCACGTGACGTGAGTAACATGAAGGGAGAGTGAGGGCGCGTGTGGGAATATATCCCTTGCTTGTGGGAAGAGGGAGAGTGGGTCCCGCAAATAGAGTGGTCTCTCTCTCTAGATACGCGTTCTTTATCGAGGACCCAAATATTCTCAGCTTCTGTCACTTCAGACAGGATTATAGTATGACGTAACTTGCCCCCTATTGCTGACTATCAGAAATAGAAATAGCCCTCCTCTATATATGTACCAAATCACCATCAACGCTTGTGATTATCCTATACCAACCTTCAATAGTTATTCTGAACGAATCCAACCGTCCATTTGGCAGTGAGTATTTGGTCAAGTTGCGATAAGCCGTGGGGTCAGCATAATAAAGAGACATATTAAGGCCCACTATTGTTGTCACCGACGGAGTTTTATGACTATATCACTCACTCGGTTCACCTTTTTCTTCCTTCTTATTCACTGTCTCGTCCCAAGTAACACTTCACATTCTCACTCACACTAGCACCATACACTAATTAATATCATTATTCTTCACCCCCCTCACTCTCTTCACCTAACAATTCCTCTACCTAACCATCTTCCATCTCTGTTCAAATGCTGATCATACAGTGCTACTAGAGGCACTTAATTAAACTACTTTTCTCAGCTGGAATTTTGCTTGTGAATGGGTTTCTCCTCTCTCCACGTCTGCATGGAATCATCACCAGATCATTGGCTGCAGGTATGCCATGCATATATATATATATATATATGAAAATGTGTATACACTAGCTATCTGCCTCTGATTTCCAAACTCAGTGGTTTTCGCCAGTTTGATGCTTTTGTGCAAATTTAATTTGATGGGGATGATGAATTTAAACTCCATTAAACTCCTCATACTTCTCACACACTAATATGAAATCCATAAAGTAACGGCTTTGACAACAGAGTTTTAGCTGAAGGTTTATAATAGTTATAACACAATTAAAATTTTATTCAATAAGAGTAACAGTATATATATTGTCACGTTGCACTCTGCTATATATATGTTTTGTAATCTTTTAAATTAGACAGAAGAATGTTATGCTATTCAAAAGAGGGAAAAAAAATGAAAAAGCCAAGGGAAGTAAAATTTAGGAAAAGGATAAAGCAAAAGAATAAAAGCAAAAGGACAAAATCCAAAATGACAAATTTGACAGTACGTAATATATATGTATGTACATTTTCATATTCCATTATTTTTTTTAATATATATAAAATGTCAGGGCACAATTCACGAGGAGTCTGGGATGGATTCTTCTTCTTCACCATGTGGTGACATGCTTCAATGCTCGAGGCCCATGATAGAGAGGAAGCTAAGACCCCCTAATGACCAAGCCCTCAAGTGCCCCAGGTGTGATTCAACTCACACCAAGTTCTGTTACTACAACAACTATAGTCTCTCTCAGCCAAGGTACTTTTGCAAGACTTGTAGAAGGTACTGGACCAAAGGAGGCACTCTTAGGAACATCCCTGTTGGTGGTGGTTGCAGAAAGAACAAGAAAGTTTCTACCAAGAAACCCAATGACCAATCACCTATTAATCAAAACCAACCAGATCCTAGAACCTCTTACAATCACAACCCCAATGATCTTCAACTTTCTTACCCAGATGTGCAATTTTCCCATCTCAACAATTTACTCGGGACTAATGCAGGAGCACTTCGAAACCCTAATTTTATGGAGAGTACTGAGTATAACATGGGAATTCTCGAGAACCCTAGGCCTATTGACTTCATGGAAAATAACGTGGTGGAGGGTATAATTAGGACTTCAAGGAATTTTGATTTTTTCGGAAATAGCGATATGGGTGTGGGTGATATGAGTGGTTACAATGGGTTGCCATCAAATTATCAAGGTCTTTGCTCTTCAGCATTTGGGGGCATGTCCCTTGATGGAAGCAATGGTGGAAATTATATAATGGAATCTTGCCAGAGACTGATGTTGCCGTATGATGCATGTGACAACCGCAACGGTTCAATTGATATGAAGCCAAACCCTAAACTATTGTCCCTTGAATGGCACTCTGATGCTGAAAAAGAGTCATTTGGAGGATATCTTGACGGCTCAGGATCATGGACTGGCGTGATGAATGGCTATGGATCTTCCACAACAAATCCTATGGTCTAGAACTAATCTCACTGATAAGCTGTCTCTCTGTGGGCTTGGTTAATTTGTTCAATGAGCTAATATTCAATCTCGTTCCTTTATAAATATTATACTTAAATCCTTTTGATGGTAGGGTAGGATTCCTTGTATTTTTTCTTTGTGGTGTTTTGATTTTCGTTGACTTAACAAAATGAGTGTGAAATGAGAAGCTTCAGTGTCTAATTTGACTGCTTTGGTGCGTTACCGGCCTTTTATTTAGATATTCATGTCTTTGTGTGAACTGAAGATCTCTGAAAGCTTTAGGATTTTGTTGTAATTAACATCGAGGACGATATGGTAGTTCTTTTCATGTTGAAGAAAATGCAGTAGTACTGTATTATCTTTATGAAGCCCATATCTTTTTCTGGGGTTATTTATGTGTAAGGAATTTTACTAATTTGCTGACTTATTTTGACTTCCATGTAAGATATTTGAGTTATATATATATTTTTGTACCAAATCTGATTACCTATTTAAGGCAAGTAGATTCTATGAGTATTCTTACAAATTTTGGCTCTTTGAGCTGACTATGAGACTTATCTCAAGTATGGTGTGTATCAACGATTACTGTTTTATGCCCTTTTTCAAGATGACATTGGTGAGGAATGAATTGATATCTTTTCCCACCCACTCAACTCCTTTGCGGCGACTAAACTACCATCATTTGATAAATATTTGAGTAATATTGCGAATATTCCGTAACATTTGGGGGCCATGATTTGTAAGAATTTGAATATTTAATTAGGAAAATAAAAGACAAATACAAGAATATAATATTAATGATGAAATTCAGTTTGAATTTAATATTTCGTATAGAAAACATAGAACACTTAAAAGTGTAACGCAAACCATTTTGTCTGCGATTTATAGCCCTCTGGTGCAAATATGAGCTACATGGAAGTTGTTGCCACCATAGAAACTAGGAGGAGAAATGAAATAAGATTGAACAGAAACAAATCAAAACAATGTTACTATCTTCACATCATCCTCTGATCTTGTTGAGAAAAATCAAAATTTAAAGGGGGGAAATTGACAAGTTAAGGCTTAGACAAGTTTTTCAATAGTACAATGAATCTTGAAAGCCAAAAATATGCCTTTGACAAAGCTAAACTAATTAGCTGTCAGAGTACAAGAGGTTTTCTATTCCTTTTTTTGGTAGCTCTACTCTATGTAGCTAACAATCTTTCTATAATCATTAGGACTTGTTTTAAAACTTTTGAACCAAATCTAGTCCAGTGTCCAACCGGCCAACACTTTAATTTATCTGTTTTTTTTTTTTTTTTGGAGAATTTAATTTATCTGTTCTAATACCAACAATATGGTGATTTACTATTACAATGGTGATCAATAAACTTTGCTGTGAAATTTACACTATTTCAATCATGAAAAGCATTTATATAGAAAGATTATTACAGAGAAACACTACAAAAAAAAGATTGTTTAGCCACATTTAAAAACGTGGCTAAGTTTAACAAAAAACGTGGCTAAACCAAACTACCACACTTTTGCCAAATGTGGCTAATCTTGGCGTGGCATTTATTTGGCCACATTTCTTTCCTCACTTTGCTACTACTGTCATGAGTGTGGTAGCATTATATTTGCCACGGTTACTTTTATATTAACCACATTATAAATGTGGCTAATTTTTAGGGAGAAAATTAAAAAAATAATACATTTTTATTTTTTTATAATATGCCTCTATCCAAATTCTAATTTTTTTTTGGCTGTCATTTAAAAAAACAATAAAACAATTGAAAGCACTTAATACAGAGCATGGTTTAGTTTCTATCCTGAAACTATCTAGCTTATAAGGAAATAAAATAAAGCCCTGTGAGAAAAAATTAGCATCAACTCGGTAAATTCAGCAACACGTCAAATCTTCTTTATGGTTTTATAATAGCGTTGCATTGTCAACATTTCCATTGTATAGAACTCACCCAAAACATATACAAAAGTAATGGATCACTTGGACACTCAAAATCTATGATTCATGTAAAATAAATAAACAATAGCCATTAAATTTAGAATAAATTATAAAAAACAGAAAACTTATATACTTATTTCCAAGTTGTTGGTGTAATTTGATGATTAATTCAACTTCCTCTTGGGTGTAGTTCCCATGATTTAGATCTGGCTTCAAGTAATTCAACTAACGAAGTCTGCAACTTTTCCCACACCTTGTTAAACCTGGAACAAAATAGAACCGAAGACTCATCCACACGTATATATAACAGTGTTAGTTACTTATTAACTACACTTCAAATAATCAATCCCAGATTTTAGATTTCTTATTCCTTATTAACAAAGCTGAAACTATTGGTTTATGGTACATCCAGTTTCTTCCTTTTTCTCTTCAGTTTAAAACTGGAGATGCTCAGCTCTCAACAAAATGAGAAATACATTTGGGTATTGTGGATCATCTACTTCAGATTGAAGTTGCAGAAATCAGTCAGGGTGTAGGGGTTTTAAAGAGTAAACCTATTCTTTAATCTTCTTCTGTACTATTTTTTTACTCAACATAGATAGGGTTGGCAAGGACATTGTTCTTCTAGGACTTGCAAGTGATTATATACTTGCAGGATCTGTGATATAAAGTTGAGAATAATTTACATGGCCCAAAACTATGATCTTTCAAGTTCTCAACAGCCTAAGGACAACTCTTCTTATCTCTGACTATTATTCAAGGCAACATATATATTAATGCAAAGTTTGCGGTTAATTGCAGGGTATGTTAAAGAATGGGAGTCTAAGGAAAATGGCACCTTTTTCTTGCTTCTGCCCTTGTTCATGAAAATGGTACCATAAATCATTGCCCATTATTCCCATAATATGGTTCCTCTTTCCTGAAGAGCATGGACTTTGTTCGAGAAGGGCCATTGCGCAACCGAACCCTTCGTGAAGCCTACACATACATAAAGGGACCATCAACATAATAAGGTAGAAGAAATTGATTGTATGATGGAAAAAAAGAGATATTAAAAAAAAAGCTTCACAAATTGGCATCTACTAACCTACATGAATATCTATCTACGCATCTTTGATTAGGAGCATACCCAGATCAACAAAATTGGTAAGAACTTGACAATGATTTTTTTCCACAAATTGCAAACTTATCTCTTACACATACACTACTTTATATTAGACATTCTTAACTTGAATCTGTAAAGTAGCATATGGTGTCATCAAATTAAATTTTAAAATTCAAATAGATAGTTAAGCATGCCGATTTTGACCAATGTATATAATAACTCACATCAAATTGGTATTTCTTTGTGGCTGCTTCAGCTGGGAAAGAGATTAAGTCAAAAAATCAAAAGAATCTGATTAAACAAGATGGGTGACTAGGGAAGTCTAAGCCAGCCATTCTACTTTTTGTAAACTTCTTGTATTCAGTAACTTGGATCATGTATGGATATCATGGAGGTGAAGCAACAGTGTAGTAATATTCATACAAATTGTACAATGGTAAGTTGGACTAATAAGTTTATTAAATAATAACCTGCTTTATATCCATCTCGGTAATTCTTCCATCCATGTTTCTGTTACACCTAAAGTAAAGCAAAGCAAAAATTACAAACATATTTCAAAATTGTGAAGAGAAGAGTCTAGAAGAGGACTTTTACATGTCAAAGAAGATTCACATTCTTGAGTTAATGGAATCATCTTTCATCTGAAACCAAAATGTATGCAATTCAGTTTTGGTGATATTGAATTTCCAATCCTCGTTTCCTCTTAGTGCCCTTAGCAATTCGTTGGCAAACTTTGATGATGACAACATCCCTATACAAAACGACAAATTTGTAAGTGAATAAATAAGGTAGTGGTTGGAAACATCATGTGGTTGAAAAATCCTGAATACTTTAATCAATAGAAACAAGAAAGAGTGTGGAGCTCATTGTCATAAGTTGGAACTAGGGTTTCACCATAATTTTGTTATTGCATGATGTTATTTTCCCAAAGTTCTCCAAAAGCACAAGTTTTACATATTTATCAAATTATTTCTTCAGTTTTTAAAATCGTTTCACAAGTTACAATAATTTTATTTATTATTTATTTTTTTATTTTTTATTCTTTTTGAGTAAACTACAATTTTGGTACCTAAAAGATTAAGTTGACATCAATTTGGTCCCTGAAATCTAAGTGTTATCAATTTAGTCCCTCAATAATAAGAAAATGGCACTAATTCAGTCCCTCAATCATAGGAAGTTGACATCAATTTAATCTCATGGATTGTTACAGCATGGAAGGATGGTTTTGATGTCACTTTCCATTATAAAGGGACTAAATTGATCTCACCTATCTTTCATGGACTAAATGGATGTGAGCCCAATCTTTTCGGAACCAGAATGGATTATTATGCCTTTTTTTTCTTTAAAAAAATAGGGATATCAGCAGATTGTATGCACTAGTTCGTGAAAGTGGCATTATTCTTTGATGTTAGTACCCTAACTGAAGGATGTTGAACTGCAGAATTGACTAGGGAAGAGATTCAAAATTTCCTAGTAAATCATTGTTATATTAATTACAAGTTATGCATAAATAGGAATGTGCTCTTTGAAATTCGAATCTTATCTGTGACTTATGACTTCATATTAAAGAAAAAGACTGGGGCAACTTTTGAATGTGCTCTTTGAACATATCCAGACTGAGGCAAGTGAGATATTCACAGTAAAAAAACCAATAATCTAATAAGAGCATTGAATGCAGAGGGAATCATGCACGTTCCAATGCGTAAAAAAACAAAAAAACAAAAAAGAGAGAAAAAAGGTACTATATATGCTATTACCAGTGAATGTCTAGAATGTGGCATAGGGTAGTATGTGTCCTCAGAAATATAGAGACCTAAATCTCAATGTTATTAACAGTTATGTCCTTAAAACTAAAACTTAATAAATAGCCCAAATCTCCAAACTGAGCTACATACATAATGACTGAACCCAAATCCAATTTGTTCTAGCCTTGCAACTAATGCCAAATCAATA